ATATAAAAATTTTACTTATTAAATTAAGAGAAATATTGATATTGAAAAAACTAGTCACTAAATTAAGAGGGGATATTGATATTGAGGGGAAGCTTCTCCTTTCAATGGTGGGTGTTCTGCAATTAAAGGCAACTACAAATGTAACACCAGCTGAACTACCAAATTTGACCTTCACCTGAACTAAAATTTTCTAACATTTGTCATCAACTTCTCTTTCTTTCAAAAATGGGTGATTATGTTGGGAACAATTGATATATAATTAGCAATCAAGAAGCTGTCACAAATCAGTTGGCATCATCATCTCATTTTTCCATAACTCAGACCCATTTTCTAGTGCTGCTGCATTGTCCGCCTCCTTACTTTCTCCGCTTTTGCTTCAGACATTCTAGATTAATATCCGATACTACGGATGCCGAGCAGAAGGAGGAGGAAGGTAAGCAAGACGAAGATGGTGAAGTCGGCTCCGGTGACCTTCGTTTACTCCTCACTCTAACAGGCTCGCAATTAATGTTAGAGCCGATGAGGTGAGGGAAATTCAACTTGGCTTTGGCACCGCGCAATTTGAAAGCAGCTCGGTCATAAGCCAGAGCGGCGTCCTCAGGTTTCTCATACGTCCCCAACCAAACTCTAGCGCCATTCTTCTTTGGATCCCTAATCTCGGCCGCATACGTCCCCCAGGGCCTCCTCCTCACCCCCTTGTATCTCGCAATCTGCGGTGGCGCTTTGTCTCCACGCGCCACCTTCATTGGAGGAGGTGCAACAGATACAACATCGTGAACTTCGTCCCCGCCGGCCCCGAACTCAGAACGGTGAGAAGAAACAACATTGCCAACGTACGTAGATGGAGTTTGGAATTGGAAGTCATCATGATCTTCGAGAAGGAAGCGGCGAATTGAGTCCAAGAGGAGAAGATCGGATTGTGAGATAAGTTTTCCGCTCATTTTCCTTTTCCCGTTGATGGTGTAGTTGAATGAATTCATTTCTATTGTTCTTCTTATTTATATACAAGTTTATAGCTAATTAAAATAATTAATATATTATTATCGCAATGTTGGTTTTAATTTTTTATGATTAGATGTAGAC